GAACATGAAATGTATGTGTGTTCCCACCATAATGACTGACTGCCCAACCTGACTCATTCATTTATTCAGATCAGCTCATGTGCTAACATTAAAAATATTTTTCACAGGCGTGTTTCTTGATATTAGGTAAGTTGTCCGCTAATGGAAAGTAACATATTAAAAACCACTATATAAAATACAAATTATGAATACTAGAAAACTATGAAGAAAATAAACACTCAGAAATACTGTAGAAACATGATATTAGAGGGTGAGTAATTGTATTTTTTGTCTCAAATGCCAAAAGTTTCATATGTTAACATGACTACAAAGCATTTTTCTTCCACATGTTTGTGTGTGTACTAATGTACGTGTATCCAGCAACCAAACAGGAAATAAAAATTAAACGTGAGAGTGATGACACATGCCTGTAATCCCAGCACTGGGGAGTTAGGATCAGGAGGGTCTGGAGATCAAGAACATCCTTGACTACATATGGAGTCTGAGGCCAGCCTAGGGATATATGGGACCTTGACTCAAAAAAGAAAGTTCCAAAAAAAAAAAAAAAAGAAAGAAAGAAAAAAAAGTACTAAAATATATGTTCTTCATAAATTTACCCAACTAAAGTAACACTTCCCTTGAGTAAAGTGGGTTGGGGGAAGGATTCGTGAAGCTTTATCCAAAGAAAGAAAACATTGTTCCACTGACAGTCTTGGAGGAGAACTTACAGTTTGTTGGTTATTACATGGGAATTAGAAGCTGGAGAGTCTGAGAAAATGAACAGGCACTTCGTGTCCCAAAGCAACAAAGTAGATTTAAACACGGAAGATTCCTTCATTTTTCCCAGCAATGTTTGGACCATACTCAGATGATGGAAGTCTGCAATGACAAGCATTTAACATATTAATTAAAAACAAGCCCACACAAACATGAATCATTTTGAAAAAGTAAAACAACAGTTGATTCTAACTTAGTAAATTTAAAAAAAAATCAGAAGAGCAGGAACCTACCAAACTTCCTCTGTAATTCAGTTTCTTATGAATGTGTATACACTACTTGAGCTGAACACTTGCTGAACAGGATTATCTGGTGTTCTGGAACTACTAGAATTATTCTGATAATCAGATCTGCCTGTCTTTAACTTTTCTGAACGTTCCTGAAGCAGTGTGTGTTTATCCTCTTGGTTTTCTATGTAATTAATTTATTTGTGTTTGGACTATTCTAAATTATGCCCTTAAGTTGCCAAAATCTGTACTTTGGAAAGGCTTTGCCATAAAATCTGGGTATAAAGGGCTATTTTTGAGTGTGGATGAAGAAAAGATGAGACAGAGAGAGATTTGACGAAGACTTTTTAGAGGCTATTATTATGTGCATGTAGATTAAAGGAACTTAATCCTGTTGAAATTTTTCTTTGAAGGTAGTGCCAGAAAGGAATTTATTTTTTCTTTGTAGTAATGCTAGGATTTAAAATAACTTACCTAGTAATTAGTTACTTCATGGGAAAGAAAAACCCTCACTAGCATTTGTGTTACTAGAAATGAAGGCAAAGAATGTGTAGACCAGTTCTCTTCATCAGTCAATCAGTAGTAGATATGCATCTGCTTCTCCTTGATCACTCCGTGCGCATCTGTATGAGACCAAGGCTTTCTGCCAAGTGGACAGAGCTGATCCTTGTTAGCCAAAAAACCACATTGCTTGCAGCTATTGCTTCTGGCTTGATGACCCTCACTCCATAGCTCACTTTGAACAGTAATAGGTCAACATAAATTTCTTGCTGCTAAAAGTGACTACAATGCACCTAAGTATAGGATTCCTGCTTTCCTTTCAGAGCACCATGAGATGAATATTATTTTCTCTAACTCTGTGACCCTAGTTTCCTCCAGCATTTTCATTTTAAGAGGCCTTCAATCCTGTCATCAAGGTCAAATGAAAGGTTAAGGGGCTGTAAGATTTTCTTTGATCCACTTCTCTATCTTTGTAAAGGAAGGCACCATGGGCACAAGAGATTTTTGAACCACTTCTCTTTGTAAGGGAAGGCACTGTGGGCACAATGCTTTTTTTATATATAAGAAGCAAGCTTTTATTGTATTACCAGCATTTGGAAATATCTACATGGTGTTCAGTTTCTGACTTCCCATCCAACACTGGGTGCTTCTGCCACCTAACAACAAGACCATGATTTTCCTGTAGGATTCTTGAAGACTGCTTCTTTTTTCCCTGAGCTACCTTTTATAAAATAATGGAGGCAACGGTCTTATATTGTAATGATGAAGGAACTTCTCTTGCTGGGTCCAAGTCAGTCTCCTGTCGCCTAAATGTTACGTTAAGATGGCTTTCTTACCTATTTCTAAAAGACTGGATCTAAGGCATACTTCCTGGAGAATATTAGAGTAAGCTATTTCCACTTGATGGCAGGTGAAACCAAATCAAGTATCTTTATCTTTAGAGAGTTAACCTAGATAGACTTAAATTTTTCCACTGACAAGATTAAGTGTTGTGAACCAACTGCACAAGTTCTGTGGTTGTGTGCATTTTAATGGAGTGGTGTACAACAATTCCAGATGGTTCATTGCTATAAAATGACTTTTTCTCTGAGTACTGCTATTTTAGCTCTGTTAGACTCAGTTGGATACTTTGAAAAGATAAGGTAATTGTTTTTCTAGTTTTAACTCTGCTACGGAGTACTTTTTTTTTGATGGATAAGTGCATAAAAATACATTTGCTAGTATAAGTGTAAAATCCAACATGAAGTTCCCCAGCTTCAGATTGGCTGTTCTAACTATACAGAAGTTCGTTGAGATACAGACTTTGGATCTCGTTAATTTCATTGAGTGGTGTCTTTATTTGTCGGTACTTCATAATAAAGTTTGAATATATTAATATACATATTAATACACACATACGTGTGTGTGTGTGTGTGTGTGTGTGTGTGTGTGTGTGTGTGTGAACTACTCATCTCAGAGATTCATCAGATTCAGTCAGTCTGGAGAATTAGTATTATTTCCAAATCTCTCATATTTTTTTTTATTCTCTTAGAAACAGAATTCCTCCTGTTTTAAAAGATTCATTGTTGTTTTATGTGTATGAGTGTTTTGTCTCTCTGTGTACCTATGCACCACACATGCAGTAGCAACAGAGGCCAGAAGAGGGCAGTGGATCCTCTAGAATTAGAGTTACAGACATGGTTGCTGGGAATTGAACCTGGGCCCTCTGGAAGAGCTGCCGGTGCTCTTAACTTTACCTGCTAAACCATCTCTCCAGCCCAGATATGCTATACTTGGTAAATAGTTTTTGAATCCATAAGATACTCAGTTACTTTCTCTCAGAATGCTTTTTTTTCTGAAAACATGGGAAAATAAGAGAATGGTCTCTGGTTGGGCTAAAACAAATATCCTGGTGCTTTGATACTTTTTAATTTTTGAAAATCAAATGTTGAAGTCATAAAGTGCTAAGCTACTAGGAAAAGCCAGCTAAAGTAACCTACGGAATGTGTCAGATTGCTAGGAACTGCCAAGCCCTACCTTTGCCTGTGGTTGCCTAAGTGTTTATACCAGTCAGGACAAATTAGGTTACTACTGTAGAAATAGTCCCCAAATCTCAAGGCTTTAACACAGCAACATTTATTTATCATCAATGCTTATTTATTTACAATGTTTATTTACGTTTGGTTGGACTGTAGTTTTCCTCCACAATGTTTTCTCTGGGTCCCAGGCTGAGAGGGCAGCCTTTGTCTACAGCATTGTTGGTTCTGTAGGAGAGGGGCAGAGAAAACACTGTAGGCAGGCTCTTTGTGTGCTCGTCTGTGACAGTCACACAACTGTGCCTGAGTTCACGAGTTACATGTCTAATTCTGTCCTGGGAAAAGATGTCAAATATTTGAGAGAGTGTGCCACATGGTTCTCTAGAAATAAATAGTGAAAATTTTAAACTTCAGAAGACACACACTTCTTCAGGACCCACCATGCTGCAGACCCTGTCTGACACTGGAAATGTGGCAGTGCATGGAAAAACACAAAACTCCATAAGCTCTTGGAGCTCTCATTGAAGGAATGGAAGTGGAGGGGGTAGATGAATACTTCTCCTTGAAGAAACACAAAACAGATCAGAAAGGAACTGTGCTGAAACGTTGGGACTTTAATTCAGACACGATGGGCAGAGATGTGTCTTGGGAGGAGATGTTCGAGCACAGAATTTTTAAAAAGTGAATGGAAGCCCTTCCTAGTCGTGGGGTGTGTGTGTGTGTGTGTGTGTGTGTGTGTGTGTGTGTGTGTGTGTGTGGTGATGGGGGCGTGCTTTGAGACAGAAAGGCAACTGTTGATGTCCTAAGCCAGAACACATGTGATCTGAAGTAAAGACAGGCCATCCAGTATATCCAAAAAGTCTAGAGGGAAATGAAGCAAAAGATATGCCCACAAACCTCACTAGTTAGAACCCTCCAGACAATCAGAAAAACATTGAATTTTCTTGTAAATATATGGAAAACAATGAGGAGAATTTGAACAATGAAGGGCATAATCATATTTTCGTTTTCAGGAAATCTTTTGATCCTAGAGCTTGAATAGAAACCTTTTTTAGAACAGAAGAATGGGGAATGACCAGTCAGGAGGACACTGTTATATGTACCAAGACGATGGGAGTAAATTTGGTAAGCAGTAGTCATTTAGACAGGGAACTGGCTGGATTTCCTGGTGGACTGAGAGACTTAAGAGAATAGACTTAATCTGATAGGATATTGACAGAGCAACTGGGTGAATTAAAAGAAAGTTTGTTTACTAAGTTGATAACACACGACAGCTGAGGGAATATCTCAGGTTAAATTTTGGACAAATTAAGTTTAAGATGCCTGTTTTATATGCAAGGTTGGTCATACGCATCTGGAGAGCAGGAAAGGCCATGGATGAGGTAGTTACCAGGAAGTCGGAGGTTCAACCAATCGCCTCTGGTCTCGTGCCTGCCCCTCCCCCGCCCACTGTCATCACCAAGGAAACCAGACGCGATAACCTGCCACCAAAGCTGGATTCATGGCAAACGCTCAGAAAGCGGTTTTGGGGCCGTTGGTGGGGGCAGTGGACCAAGGTACCAGCTCAACGCGTTTTTTGGTTTTCAATCCCAAAACAGCTGAACTACTTGATCATCATCAAGTGGAAGTAAATCAGGAGTTGCCCAGAGAAGGATGGGTAGAAGAAGACCCAAAGGAAATCCTGCAGTCTGTGTACCACTGTATAGAGAAAACATGTGAGAAACTTGGACAGAAGAGCATTGAGATTTCCAACATAAAAGCTATTGGTGTCACCAATCAGCGAGAAACGACTATAGTCTGGGACAAGATAACTGGAGAACCCCTCTACAACGCGTTGGTGTGGCTTGACCTAAGGACGCAGTCCACTGTGGAGAACCTCAACAAAAGCATTTCAGAAGGCAATAACTTTATCAAGACCAAGACAGGCCTCCCAATCAGCACTTACTTCAGTGCAGTGAAACTCTGCTGGCTCATTGACAATGTGAGAAAAGTGAAAAAGGCCATCGAAGACGGCAGAGCTCTTTTTGGGACCGTTGACACATGGCTTATCTGGAATATGACTGGAGGCATCAACGGAGGTGTCCACTGTACCGATGTAACTAATGCAAGCAGGACCATGCTTTTCAATATCCATTCTTTGCAATGGGATGAAGAGCTCTGCGATTTTTTTAAAATTCCAATGAGCATCCTTCCCAGAATCCGGAGCTCTTCTGAGATCTATGGTCTAATGAAAATTGGGCCGTTGGAAGGTGTGCCAATATCTGGGTGTCTGGGGGACCAGTCTGCTGCTTTGGTGGGACAACTGTGCTTCCAGGATGGACAAGCCAAAAACACATACGGAACAGGCTGTTTCTTACTATGCAACACAGGCCAAAAGTGTGTAGCTTCTGAACACGGCCTTCTTACCACAGTGGCTTACAAGCTTGGCAGAGAGGAACCTGTCTATTATGCACTGGAAGGTTCAATAGGTATAGCGGGTGCTGTTGTTAGCTGGCTAAAAAACAATATTAAAATTATTCAGGCATCAAGGGAAATTGAAAAATTAGCTGGAGAAGTAGGCACTTCTTATGGCTGCTACTTTGTTCCAGCTTTTTCAGGGTTATATGCACCTTACTGGGACCCCAGTGCCAGAGGGATCATCTGTGGACTCACTCAGTTCACCAATAAATGCCACATTGCATTTGCTGCGTTAGAAGCTGTTTGTTTTCAAACCAAAGAGATTTTAGAGGCCATGAATACTGATTGTGGAACACCCATGAAACATTTGCAGGTCGATGGAGGAATGACCGAAAACAAAATCCTTATGCAACTGCAAGCAGACATTTTGTGCATTCCAGTGATGAGACCCTCCATGCCGGAAACAACTGCCCTGGGGGCCGCCATGGCAGCAGGGGCTGCAGAAGGGGTTAGCGTGTGGAGTCTGGACCCCAAGGACTTGTCAGTCGTTCAGATGCAGAAGTATGAACCTAAGATCAACATTGAGGAAAGTGAAGTTCGTTATGCCACATGGAAGAAAGCTGTGATGAAGTCAATGGGCTGGGTTTTGACTCAGACTCCTGAAAGTGGTGACCCCAGTACGTTCAACAGTCTGACTTTGGGCTTTTATATAGTGAGTAGCATGATGATATTAATTGGGGCAAGGTACATCTAAGGGGTCCCACAAATCATGCCACCTTGTGGATGCCCCAGTTGAGAGCTTTTTACCTAACAAAGAATCCAGCAGTTGTCTCAATGCAACGCCACTATTCAGACTCCGAATTTGTTTATGTGCCACTTGTATGCATCTCAAAGAAGACCTGAGATATGAAATAAAGAATAGCAGCAGAAAAAGAAATGCTACCAGCAATATTGGTTTCTTTTTCTTATTCTTAACATTAACCATTTTCACTGAGGTGCCTACCACTGAGTAGAATCCCTCCAGGGTTCTAACATCCTGCCCACTTCTTATTAATATCTTGTCCATTGTGATCTTTGACCACACTGAGGTGCGGATGGTCCAGGGTTTCTGTCTCTGCCTACACAGGCCTAATTATGGGTTTTACTAACCTACTAAAAGTGATTGACATTTTTGTTTATAATACAGCCTCCAAAATCTTTTCTACACATCAGGAAGCATTTCCAAAGAGGTCTCATTTGATTATATATCCTATTGAGTTTTTATGATCTACTTAATTTTCTAAATTTTGTCTTTTTTTCTGTTTTTATTTTTATTTATTCTTCTCTCATATATTACATCCCAACCACAGTTTCTCCTCCCTCCTCTCCTTACAGTCCCTCCCCCCTCCACATCCCCCCCCATTCCTCTTCCTTTCCCTTCAGAAAAGGGCAAAGCTTCCCAGGAATATCAACCAAATATGGCATATCAAGTTGCAATAAGATTAGGCACCTCCCCTCATATTAAGGCTGGACAGGAGAACCCAGTAAGAGAAAAAGAGTCTCAAAAGCAGGCAAAAGAGTCAGAGGCAGGCCCTGCTCCCTCTGTTAGGAGTCCCACAAGAAGACCAAGCTACACAACTCTTAACTACACATAGGGGGCCTAGGTCAGTCCCATGTAGGCTCCCTGGTTGTCAGTTCAGTCTCTGTAATCCCACGTTAGTTGATTCTGTGGATTTTCTTGTGATGCCCTTGGTTCCTCTGGCTCTTATAATCTTTCCTTCATCCCTTCAGCAGGATTCCCCAAGATCAGCCTAATGTTTGACTATGGGTCTTTGCATCTGTTTCCACCAGTTGCTAGATGAAGCCTCTCTGATGACTATTGGGCTAGGCACCAATCTGAGTATACCAGGATATTGTTAGGCATCATTACATGGACTCTTTTTTCCCCCCCTACAGTCATGTTTGGTTATATCCTAGGTCTCTGGGCCATCCAGCCTCTGGGTCCTGATGCTCCAGGCAGTGTCAGGGGTGGGCTCACTCTTGTGACATGGGTCTGAGGCTGGACCAGTCACTGGTTGGCCACTCCCACAATCTCTGTGCCACCCCTTATCCCAGCATGTCCCATAGGTAGGACAGACTGTAGGTTGAAGGCTATGTGGCTGGTCTGGTGTCCCAATCCCCCCACTGGAAGTCTTACCTGGTCACAGGAGATGGTCAGTTCAGGCGACATATCCACAATTGCTAGGAGTCCTAGCTGGGATGATCCTTGTAGATTCTCCAGTTTCCCTTGCACCAGGTTTCTACCTGATCCTGAAATGCCCCCCTTTTCCAGTTGGCTATTTCAGTACTGTCTCCCTCACCCCCAATCTACCCATGAAATCCCTTCTATTTCCCCTTCCCGGGGAGATCCAAGTGTCTCCCTTGTTACTTAGCCTCTCTGTGTTTGTGAATTGTAACATGGTTATCCTTTACAGCTAATATCCACTTATAAGTGATTGCATACCATTTTGTCTTTCTGGGTCTGTGTACTCTATTTTTAATTGGGTTATTTGCTTTGTTGATGTCTAGTTTCTCAAGTTCTTTCTATATTTTGGAAATTAGCCCTCTTTCAGATGTGTAGTTGAACATATTGGCACAGGAGATAGCTTTCTGAACAGAACACCAATAGCACAGGCACTGAGATCAACCATTAGTAAATGGGACCTCATGAAACTGAAAAGCTTCTATAAGGCAAAGGACACCGTTGGACAAAATGTCAGCCTACAGATTGGAAAAGATTTTTTATCAACTGGGTCTTCAGTTCAATCTCATTCATCTACCTATCTGTTTTATGCCAATATCAAGTGGCTTTTTTTTTTTTTTTTTTTGGTTTTTCGAGACAGGGTTTCTCTGTGTAGCTTTGGAGCCTGTCCTGGAACTCACTCTGTAACCCAGGCTGGCCTCAAACACAGAGATCCACCTGCCTCTGCTACAATAGTTCTGTAGCAGAGCTTGAGGTCAGGGATGGTGATACCTCCAGAAGTTCCTTTATTGTACAGGACTGTTTCAGTTATCCTGGGGTTTTTTTGTTTTGCCATGTGAAGTTGGTATTGTTCTGTCAAGATCTGTAAAGAATTGTATTGGAATTTTGATGGGGATTGCACTGAATTTGTAGATTGCTTATAGTAAGATGGTCATTTTTACTACATTAATCCTACCAATCCATGAGCGTGGGAAATCTCATCTTCTGATGTCTGCTTCAATTTCTTTCTTCAAAGACTTGAAGTTCTTGTCATACAGGCCTTTCACTTGCTTGATTAGAGTTACTCCCAAGATATTTTATATTATTTGTAGCTACTGTGAAGGGTATTATTTTTCTGATTTCTTTCTCAGCCCACTTATCATTTGTATATGTATATAGGAAGGCTACTGATCTTTTTTTTTTTTCAGTTAATCTTTATCTAGCCACTTCACTGGAGACTGAAGGTGTTTATCAACTGTAGGAGTTTCCTGGTAGAATTTTTAGGGTCACTTATGTATACTATCATATCATCTGCGAATGGCAATACTTTGACTTCTTCCTTGCTAATTTGTAGCCTCTTGATATCCTTTAGTTGTCTATTGCTCTAGCTGGAACTTCAAGTAATATATTGCATAGATATGGAGAAAGTGGACAGCTTTGTCTTGTTCCTTATTTTAGTGGAATTGCTTTGACTTTCTCTCCACTTAATTTTGATGTTGGCTCTGGGTTTGCTGGATATTGCTTTTGTTATGTTTATGTGTGTTCCTTGTATTCCTGATCTCTCTAAGACTTTGGATTTTGTCAAAGACTTTTTCAGCATCTAATGAGATGATCATGTAGGGTTTTGTTTTTCTTTCAGTTGGTTTATGTGGTAGATTACACTGATTCATTTTCATATGTTGAACCATCCCTGCATCTCTGGGATGAAGCCTCCATGATCATGGAGGATAATTTTGTTGATGTGTCCTAGGATTTAGTTTGCAAGTATTTTATTGAGCATTTTTACATCAATGTTCAGGAGTGAAATGATCTGTAATTCTCTTTCTTTGATAGTCTTTGTGTGGTTTGGGTATCAGGGTGACTGTGTATCATAAAATAAATTTGGCAGTGTTCCTTATATTTCTATTTTGTGGAATAATTTGAGAAGTATTAGTATTGGCTGTTCTTTGAAAGTCTGGTAGAATTCTGCACTAAAACTGTCTGACTCTGGGCTTTTTTTTATTAGGAGACTAAATAACTGCTTCTATTTCCTTGGGGGTTATAGGTCTATTTAAATTGTTTATCTGATCTTGATTTAACTTTAGTAAGTGGTATCTATCAAGAAAATTGTCCATTTCTTTTAGATTTTTCAAATTTTGTAGAGTACAGGTTTTTAAAGTATGACCTAATGATTCTTTGAATTTCCTGGGTGTCTGTTGTTATGTCAACCTTTTCATTTCTGATTTTGTTAATTTGGATATTCTCTCTCTCTGCCTTTCAGTTACTTTGGATAAGGATTTGCCTGTCTTGTTGATTTTCTCAAAGAACCAACTCTTTGTTTCATTGATTCTTTGTGTTGTTCTCTTTGTTTCTATTTTATTGATTTCAGCCCTGAGTTTGATTATTTCCTGCCATCTACTCCTCTTGAGTGTGTTTGCTTCTTTTTGTTCTAGAGCTTTCAGAGGTGCGGTTAAGTTGCTAATGTGAGATTTCTCTAAGTGCCTTATAAAGGCACTCAGTGCTATGAACTTTCCTTCTAACTGTACTTTCATTGTATCCCATAAGTTTGGGTATGTTGGGCAATCATTTTCTCTGGATTCTAGGAAGTCTTTCATATCTTTATTTCTGCCTTGACCTAGTGTTCCTTCAGTAGAGAATTGTTCAATTTCCTTGAGTTTGTAGGTTTTTTGTTGTTTCTGTCATTGAAATCCAGCTTTAATCCATGGTGGTCTGATAGGATACAGGGGGTTATTTCAATTTTCTTGTATCTATTAAGACCTGCTTTGTGACTGAGTGTATGGTCAACTTTTTGGAAAATTCTGTGAGGTGCTGAGAAGTAGGTATATTCTTTTGTGTTTGGGTGAAATGTTCTGTAGATAGCTGTTAGGTCCATTTGAGTCATAAGGTCTGTTTAGCTACATTATTACTCTGTTTATTTTTTGTCCGGATGACCTGTCCATGGGTGAGAGTGGGGCATTGAAGTCTCCCACTATTAATGTGTGAGGCTCGATGCATGATTTAAGTTTTAGTAATGTTTCTAAATGTGGTTAACTTTGTGTTTGGGGCATAGATATTCAGAATTGAGATGTCATCTTGGTGGATTTTTCCTTTGATAGGTATGAAATGTTCTTCATCATCTCCTTAATTTTGGTTGTAGTTCTGTTTTGTTAGGTATTAGAATGGCTGCACCAACTTTCTCCTTCGGTCCATTTGCTTAAAAAAATCTTTTCCCAGCCTTTTACTCTGAGTTAATGTCTGTCTTTGATGTTGAGATGTGTTTCCTGTATGCAGCAGAAAGATGGATCCTGTTTTCATATCCATTTTGTTAGCCTATGTTTTTATTGGGGAATTGGGTCCATTTGTTTTGAGATATTAATGACCAATGACCAATGATGTTAATTTCTGTTATTTTGGTGGTGGTGGTTGTGGTGCTGCTGCTGCTGCTGGTGGTGGTGGTGGCAATGAGTGTGTGGGCATGTGTGTGTTTTGCATGCAGGCTTCCCTTCTATTTTGTTGGTGTGAGGTTATTTATTTCCTGTGTTTTCATGGGTGTAGTTAGCCTTCATGGAATGGTG